TTTTTTTTGAGACAGGATTTCGCTCTTGTTGCCCAGGCTGGAGTGCAGTGGCGCAATCTCGGCCCACCACAACCTCCGCCTCCTGGGTTCCAGTGATTCTACCTAAGCTTCCTGAGTGGTTGGGATTTCAGGCATGTGCCACCATGCCCAGCTAATTTTTTGTATTTTTAGTAGAGACGGGGTTTCTCCATGTTGGCCAGGCTGGTCTTGAACTCCCGGCCTCAGGTGATCTCCTGCCAAAGTACTGGGAGTACAGGTGTGAGCCACCGTGCCCAGCCCAGCCTTTTCTTTTTAATGAAAGTAGCCCCAAATCATTTTCTAACTAATGCAGCCTGCAAGCTGGGAGCCTGCACGGGTGAATGCTGGCGGGAACTAAGAACTAGACATGTGCAAGGCGGCAGACTTCTCTGTCAGCCACATGTATTGTGAGGAGCAGACAGGATGGGGCCAATCAACTGGGAAGCCCATTTGCGTAAGATCCGTGCGGGGTGACCAGCCTTCCCCGCCAAAACTAATGTGTGAGTCCTATATGAATCGGATACCGCCTCCTCAACTGGGCCATGAAACTCGGAGCATTTACCACCAACTGTTCTTTTTCCACTTGGAGACCCCTTCCTCTATAGAGGAAGCTGTTTCTCTTTCTCTCCTCTTCTACCTATTAGACCTCTGCTCTTATACTCCTCATGTGTCTGTGTCGTATAAGGAACCCCAGGGTATATACCCCAGACAAAGCAGCCCCTTCAATAGTGGACTCTTTCGTATTGCCTGGGCCCAGAGGCTCTGGCCCAGGCTCCTTTTGCTGTTAAGTTTCTGTAACATTGTGATACATTAAGAAATACAGATTTGGTCTCCATCCCCAGATCCTAGCATAGAGCTCCTGAAACCTCTGGAATTTTCTAAGTGATAGGAGTGAGAGGAGCATCTTTTGTTCTTCATCATAAACCCCTTTCAACCTACCATGTGATTACAGGATTGGACCTTTTAGTCCCACCCTTCTGACCTCCAGGAAATACAAAAATAACAACAGTGTTTCCAAACATTGGGAAGGGGAGAAGAGAGAAGGTAAAGGTAAAGTACGTAGGTTTTCCCATGGAAAGAAGTCCAGAAAATACAGTTGAAAGATCAAGTCACAGAGCTAGGAACATATTATTTAAAGGAAAAACTAGAAGAAATAAGACTCATAAAAAAAACTAACCAAGACTGGCAGCAGGAGATATGGACAAGAGGAGAGAGGAAGCACAAGGATGCTGTTTCCTCATCCTTCACAGGGGACAGTTGGGAGAGGTCGTAGAACAATAAACAGAACGGCCATATAAAAGCTCTAAAGGGCCGGGCATGGTGACTCACGCCTGTAATCCCAGCACTTCGGGAGGCCGAGGTCGGTGGATCATTTGAGGTCAGGAGTTCGAGACCAGCCTGGCCCACACGGTGAAACCCCATCTCTACTAAAAATACAAAAATTAGCCGGGCGGTTGTAGCGCACGCCTGTAATCTCAGTTACTCAGGAGGCTGAGGCAGTGGAATTGCTTGAGCCTGGGAGGTGGAAATTGCAGTGAGGGGAGATCACGCCCCCGCACTACAGTCTGGGTGACAGAGTGAGACCCTGTCTCAAAAAAAATAATAAAAGCTCTAAAAGTGCAATGCAGACCTTCTGAATTATATAAGAAA